TTGTGCTTCCTCCAGGGCAGTCTTCATCCGTTCAACCATTTGTTGTACAACTTCTACTCGGGAGGTTCCATGTCCTTGTAATATTGATGTAGGCAAAATTGGATGGTCTCCCGAGTTAAGGAAAAATGGTGAATAACCCGTGGCCACATTTTCAGCGTTGTCCGCGGCGAATTCCGCTAACGGCAATTGCCTCACCCAGTGTTGTGGATCTCGTTCAACATACGGTCGTAGGAAGTTTTCCAGCGTTTGTATGGCTCTCTCACTCTGGCCATCCGTCTGAGGATGAAACGCTGTACTAAACCGGAGATCAGTGCCCAGTAGGTCAAACAGACCTTTCCAGAATTTACTGGTAAATCTCGGATCTCGGTCAGATATGATAACCTCCGGTAGACCGTGTAGACGGAAAACATGGTCAACAAACAACCGGGCATATTCCATGGCTGTTACTTCTTTTCTGCATGGGGCAAAGTGAACCATTTTGGTGTAACGGTCCACAAATACTGCTATAGCAGTATAGCCGTCCGATTCTGGTAAGTCAGTGACCAGATCGGTTGTCACCTGAGCCCATTTCCTTGAGGGAATTTCTAAGGGCTGCAGAAGACCGGCTTTGACCCTGTTATCCGACTTCATCTGCTGACAGGTCGGACAACTCCTGACGTATGAAGTAACATCTCCTCTGAGTCCATGCCAATAGAATTGCCTGTCCACTTGTTCCAAAGTCTTGCGTATGCCCACGTGTCCAGCAGTGGGACTATCGTGGCATTCCCTCAATATGTTCTGACGCAAGGACGCGGGTACAACGATCTTCACTTGACCATGCTTTTTTATCCCGATCAATCCACTGGGTATCAACAAGTAGTCATCCGCTCTTTGACTTTGCCGTAAAGTGCTCAACACTGTCCCCAGACGTGGATCTGCCTCATATGCTGTGATCCATCTGTGGCACTCCTCCTGATCCATCTCCATGTGAGCTGTCACGGTAAAGAGGGAACCGGTATTCTCTGTCTCGTGTTCTGCCGGTTCTACTATACTCCTCTGACTCCTACTCAGAGCATCGGTGATAATGTTTGCTTTCCCAGGATGGTACTTGATCATGGGATTGATCGACTGAAACAACCCCAATCGCATCCACCTGGTCTGCACCCGGGTAAGCACTGGCTGGTCCATAATGCGGTTTAACGTTTGGTGGTCTGTCAGAATGACCACCCGCCAGGACAGCCCTCCACATAATGTCGCCAGCTCTGTAAGCAGTACGCCATTGCAGCCAGTTCGCGTTCATAAGCCAAATATCTCTGTTCCGTCGGCTTGAGTTGTCTACTCAGAAATGCGACTGGTCTCAAACCATCTCCCTGATCCTGTAACAATGCACCTCCCACACCTGTGCCCGAGGCATCGGTGAAAATCGTATACGGGAGTTTAGGATTTGGGAAAATCAGAATTGGCCCATGACAAAAAGCCTCTTTAATGGCAGCAAATGCATTTTTCTGATATGGGCCCCATTGCCATGCCATCTCCTTCTTCGTGAGATCAGTCATAGGCCTGGTAATGTCACTATAATTCCGAATGTATCTCCGGTAATAATTCGTGAACCCCAAGAACGAACGAACGTCTGTTACGTTCTGGGGTGTGGCCCAATCGCGTATTGCCTGCAGTTTGACCTCTGTCGGGGTCAGTCCTCCACCACAAATCTGGTGTCCGAGGAACTCCACTGAATCCTTGACAAACTCACATTTTGAAGCTTTTGCAAAGAGTCGATGTTCCCGCAATTTCTGCAACACTTGGCGCACGTGTTCAGTATGCTGGTCTAACATGGCAGAATATATCAAAATATCATCCAAAAAAACAAGGATGAATCGGTCGAGATACTCTCCTAGGAGATCGTTCATCATGTTCATAAACTGCGCTGGGGCATTGGTAACACCGAATGGCATCACCAAATACTCGAATAGGCCCCAGCGAGTTTTGAATGCTGTCTTCTGAACGTCTCCTTCTCGCACCGGTATCTGCCAGTAACCAGATTTCAAATCGATTTTACTGAACACTTTTGAACCGCCCAGATGATCAAATAACTCCTCCGGTAACAGGAGGGGATATTGATTCCGGATCGTCTTTTTGTTCAGCCAGCGGTAATCCACACAAAACCGCAAGCTTCCGTCCTTTTTAGGAACGAATAGGACGGGTGCACCGTATGGGGATTCGGAAGGGCGAATAAACTTATGCTCGAGCAGCATTTCAATCTGCTTCTTCGCCTCTGCCAACTCGAGCGGGCTCAGTTTATATAGGGGCCGATGGACTGGAGGGACGTCATCCTCCAAATCTATCTTAAACTGGTGCCCCTTTCGTACAGGTGGAAGCCCAACCGGTAATTCATCCGGAAAGACGTCGGAATACTCCTTGAGAATTCCCTTCAACTGATCAGGGAGATCCTCTCGCTGTAATTGCGATGAGTATAAGTCCGATTGGGACTTCCCCTCACGTTCATCCACTGGTTCCATCACCTTCCGAATCATCCCCATAAAAGCCCGTGTTTGAGGCTTTTTCCTCAGTAATCGACTCATTTGTTTAGCACTGATCATGGTCACCAATTCCTCTGATGGTACCCTTTTCTGTGTGGCAAGGGGTAGTTCAATCCACTTTTGTCCTTGCCCGAGCGGCTGGCCCGCGATCCACCTCGATGCTCGGCGATTGGGAGGGAATGGAGGGGGGGGGGGGGCCGATGGCGACGGCGATGGCGAGCAATCCGCGCCCGCCGCCACCGCCAATCAGGCGAGAGGAAAGGGAGGGAGGGGGGCGTCGCGGAAGCCCCAACGGTAGCCCGCTCCAAAACTAACTGTTGCGCACCCTATTGGGTGCGCCCCAGGACCTGCCCACGAGGGGCACGCGGAGAGCGAGCGGGGAAACTCAGAAAGATTGTTACATTGGAAGCATGAACCACAAATATAATCAGGTGTTCATTTACTCCAAACAGCAGCAAATCAAATTATAGACACACTACTCCCCTAGTATATCTAGTAAACCCAAGTCTCACCCCAATATCGCAGTACAACACAATGAAGTGAAATCTCCAGTATAACTGGATCCACCAGAATTCACAACACACACACTCGATAGCTGTTGAAACTTTTGTAATAGACACCCGCAAATCATTTCCCAAAGCGTAGAAGCATGATAAACAATATTCGCAGAGTCCAATCGGCTATGTCAACGGATTATTGAGATTGCTAGCATGGGACGCTAGCAAGGGGCAATGGGTTGAAGTGGACCAAGTCGCCTTTGCATTATTCACTTCATGTTCATCTCTGCTAACCCTATGACAATTTCCGCGTATCTGTGACAACAGATTCAGTACCAAGATCAACAGGCAGGCCACTACCCCAACGTAAAGTGTACACCCAATGGTAAGCTCCAAAACTTGCACGTCTATCACTCGACCCAGCTATCCATCTGCGGTCTTAGGCAGCGGCGCCATGCAAGAAGTGCTGCTCCATAGCAGCAAAAGAACAGCACCGATCTTTAGCCATTGACTAAACCCCCAGTTCATGTCTAGAATCAGTAGTGGAACGTCATGTTCTTCATGAACTCCTCGCCGTATCGCTGGCCGACTATGTCTTCCGGCTGGAAGTCCACCTCCTTCATGTCTTTTGGCGAAAGTTTCACAAAATATGCCCCAACGTTGTCCATCAGATACTTCACCCTCTTCGTGCCAGGGATAGGCACAACGTCGCTTCCTTGGTGTTGCAGCCATGCAAGCGCGACCTGGGCGGGCATGCACCCTTTCTTCTCGGCAATGTTCTTCACAGTCTTCACCATTGCCTTGTTCCTTTCCAGCGCCTCAGCACTGAATCGCGGGTTCCCTCTGCGCCAGTCGTTCTCGCTGTTGCAAGACAGTGATGCTCGGATTCAGCAACAACGAACTCCATATGAGCTATCTTGCCAGATATGCCACAGCATCCAAACAGTCCACCTTTTCGCTGCTCGCAGGTCAGAAAGTATTTTGGAGATGCGACTGAGCAGGGAATCAGAACGCGGGCAATGGCAGCACGCAACTGCCCGAGTAGAAAATGGATCAGAAAATGTCAGCAGCTGGGCACAACTCACCCCAACATTGTTGCATGTTTGGATTCAATCTCTGCTAGCTGCGTGCAAATCTTGATACAACAAATTGATAACGAATCCATTTGCATTTGGCGATGTTACTGCCGCAAATTGAGTTAATTTCAAGGGCAACTACTGGTTGGTATGAGGCGTGCTCACTGAGAAGCTTTGAGGCAACTGACCAAATTTCTTCAATCACTAAGCCATTCAGTCACGGCAAGACAACTTTCTTTCGGTGACCCACGCAACTACTGGCTGCCTTCCAAATAAATCTGCTTTGTGTGAAATGGAAACCAATCGGCTGTTGGTGTCTGCAACATATCCCTACCTTATGTCCTCGAGCTTTTGAATCGTTCCGGTCAAGTATCCACGGCCCAGGGGACTGTAACAGACGAGACCGATCCCCAGCTCCCTGCAGGTGGGTATGATTTCCTTCTCTGCGTCTCTTGTCCACAGCGGCCACTCCAGCTGGTAGGCGGTGACTGGATGAATAGCGTGCGCCTTCCAAATATCTCCCGCATTCGCCTCTGACAAACCGATGTACTTAATTTTGCCCTCCTCCACTAGTGCCTGAGCAAATGACAAGTTGCCTTCCTCAGGACTCCAACATTGGCGACAGATGCGAATTCAGATCCCGACACTGGATATGCAACCGCGACGAAATAGCTGTGGCATAGGCAAGGATGGCTATTGCACAAATTTTGCATGCTTGAGCTCAATACGTCTTCATTAACAATATCATATTGGCACAAACCTTTAACTCGCTAAAAGTATCCTCAATGGGCGTGTAGGGGTCGACTCGATGTTGGTAGAAGAGGTCGATGCAATCGATGTTAAGGCGCTTCAGGCTGTCCTCGCAAACTTTCCTCACGTTGGCCGGCGTCGAGTCAAAGCCAGTCATTGTGCCATTCTTAATCTCAAATCCAAACTTGGTGGCCACCTCGAATTCATCTCGTTTCCCTTTGATTGCTTGCCCTGAAGGATAGTCAACAGCCGATCATGCACCACAGCAATTTGCAGCTCAATCACCATCGAGTAGTGAAGCAGAGATACTGCCCCCAATTACTACTTCCACTCAACATCAGATCTGATTAGGTACTATGGTAGGCTATTCAATGTGCATAACTCATTTCGAATCCGAATTGATGCGCTCAATGACCAAATCGATCTGCTCAGCGGCAATCTGGATGTGAATGCTTGGAATCAAAATTAGACGCTCACAGATGTGCAAGGCAGCTTGTCCAAGTCTACAAGGACACAAGACTGCCAAGACCGTAGAACGTCGAGATTTGCAGTCATTCTAGCCGCGAAACACTCCAGAGTCATGGCGCTTCCTTTGCCACAATTACTGTGGGAGTCCGCAGCGTTCGCGGTTCTTGTTTCAACGGAACAGCGTCAAGTACAAAACGGAAGAGCCCTGAGTAGAAGTCGAGGCTCATCGACAACCCAAGCGGTGCCATGTGGTGGAACGGGCCTGCGAGTGCCCTTGCAATGTGGATCCTGACATGGCGCTGGGGCTTCTGCTCACCAAATTGTCCACGGGGCCTCCGCTGCAGCTGAGACGCGCCAAAGACTGAGCACTGCTACGCCCAGTGAAGGGCATATACAACAAGCGAAGCTGTGACCTGCGGTCCTCGCAAACGTCAGCAGGGCACCTCGCAACAACCAACGTCCTTGCGCACCGACACGCGCACGCACACGCCGCTTCCGCTCAGATTTGCTACGAGGTGGCGACGCTGAGAACTATGTCCTGTACTAAGGGTCGGGCTGGATGCCACCAACGGCAACAGCCCGCTACGCAGCGATCAAGGTCAGTGTGCACACAACCGCTAAGAACGCTTCCCCTCCGATCTCTGGTTGACTCGAGATCGCGAAAAGAAGGTCTCGACAAGGATGCCCCGGCATGGCATTTACAGCGGGGCTCTCTCACCAACGAGCTCCTCGTTCGTGAACGGCCCGTACACCTCCGCGGTGTCGAGGAACGTGCAGCCGAGCTCCAGAGCCTTGTCCAGGACGGCCAAAGACTCCGCCTGCGCCCCGTCGCTGTTGTAGTCACCGTACGCATCGCTCATGCCCATGCAGCCCAGGCCCTGGGCGGACACGAGGAGTCCTTGCCGACCCAGCGGCACTTTCGGGAGCTTTGCTGCGGCAGCCATGGCCCTTGCCGCGCTTGAGGGTGCAAGGCGCCCCCGTTGTTCAATGTGGGCGTGACTTGAAGCCAACCTCTGCGAAGCTCGTAGCGGACAAGCAGACTGCCACGCACGTAGGAGTTGCACGTGTCTGCGTCAAATGCAACTGCCAATGGCACTGCCAACGTGACAGATGCCCTTCCGTTCCTGCACTGTGCGGCGTGTTGGGTGTGTGCTGGGAGTGCATCAAGCTGACTACCTGAAACGTGGCCTTGACCAGCGAAAACGACAATGCTTCGCAACCGTACGTCACCTCAAGCATCACGACACATTTCGTGATGGTGCCAATCTCGCCGTTGGCTATGCGCGCTTACTCTCGGATCCATGAGTAACATGCGTGTGTCAAATGGCGACTGGCTGGGTGGCGCCAAACCGCAGAGCAGTCATGGATTTGGCATGGACATGCGCTGGAGTGTTGATAAAACACACCCTGTAGTAGCGAATGGAAAAGAGCGGCTGGTTCGTAGATGTTACGTACATTTCACGGCAGCTTCGTTGTTGAATGACAAACGGACATGGCGCAGCCACCGTAGGTAGACACTAGGGGCATGCAGCAAGACACTTGAAAATGGAATGACAGCTCCAGTCAAGGGTACAGGCGTTGGAAAGCAGTCATACCCACGGTACCATGTGTTCACAAAAAGGGTGCGAATGAGGTATGTTGCTGCTGTGCAATGTGCTTTCAATACCCGTCCAAGGTTCTGACCAACTGGTGAGGTTGAAATAGGTCTGAGCCGATGGGTTTGCATAGGGTCGTGGAGCGCGTGCAGCTTACTGGAAAATGTATTGAATATAGTGAATCAAAGTATATGCAACCGCGCTTTGAAAGTATTCACCAACGAAATCAACTACGATGCTAAAGGATTGCTGCCAAGTGTGGCGATGGGTAGGGCACGCTGATGTTTAGCATCAGCAGCCGATTTTGCTTGGCCATTTCAGGCACTACCATTGTTTTCTGGCCGCCTAGCACCTTGGCGGCTGAGTCAACGCACGAATCGTTGAAGCAGGGCCGTTGACTGCGTGCCACCCTTGGAGTCTGCCAGGCTTTGGGGGGGCTGAGTTGGGCGGCTTCAATTCCCATCCCATCTTATTTCGCAATTCATGAGTTGCTAGTTGTGGGATGGGTGAGGGAGTGGTGTACGGGCTGAGGTGCTTGCAAAAGTCGCCGTGTATCCCCACCCCACCCTGTGACCGGTGACATTTCCTGCCCTGGTAAAGCAGCGTGCGGTGGCGCGAGTGCCATTTACATTCCCCCCCCCTGTGCCCAAGTCACGGCACGTCAATTCTTCGCAGCTGGGGCGTCTATCCCCAGACAACGCTCGCCCGAGTAACCTGACTCTGGTTCCAGCTTCAATCACACTTGCTGTATGATCACACACGGGCAACATGTGGCTTGCACGCCTAAATAACTTGCCAAGGTTGGGCGGGAAAGAGAGAAAAACAGAAGCTGGCGGGCTGCCTTATAGTTGCAGGGGAAATTAGCATTGGAATTCAAAGGGCGACGTGCTTGAATGCATTGAGTCCGCTCTCCTGCCAACCGCCTGAACAAAATGACTGCGGCCCCACAAAGGGCGGCATTCGACGAGGCCATTGCATCTGTCTGGACTGGTGTGCTGCACGTTGTTGCCAACCACTCGGGGCATTGTGTGTGCTGGAGGGTAACCGCATATTTGGCATGCTAGCACTTGTTTGATGAGGTTGACACCATCTTTTGGGTGACAGCGTACTTGGGAGATTGGAGTGGCATACCGCTAGGTACGTCCGGCAAACCAAGGAGTCAGCTCGCCTGCTTCGAATGGACCCAAATTCGCAGCTTCAGATGCCCACGTTGACAAGAGACACGCTCAAAGGCTGCTTGAAACTGTCAGACACAACATTGCGTGCAGCTTACGTTGCCACAAAACCTCACCAACGCTGTCTTTGGACCTCACAATAAACAGCAATTTGCCCCCAAGGCAAAGAATGGCAACCAAAGGGCAACCATTTCCTGATCAAACGGAGGTTGCATCGTAGTGGAACGTATAGTCCTTCATGTTCTCAGTATTGTAACGATCACCAGCAACGCCTTCCACTGCAAAATCCAGCTCCTCCATGTCTTCTGGCGAAAGCTTCACCCAATATGCACCAACATTGTCAAGTAGGTACTTGACCCTCTTTGTCCCAGGGATCGGCACAACATCACTCCCTTGGTGGTGCACCCATGCAAGTGCCACCTGGGCGGGCGTGCAAGCCTTCTTCTCAGCAACCGCCTTCACTTTGTCGACCAACGCCTTGTTCTTTTCCATCGCTTCAGCACTGAACCGTGGGTTTGACCGTCTCCAGTCATCCTCGCTATTGCAGCACACACAGGCACTCATACGGATGGCATAAGTGAGCCCAGATGCAGAAAACTGCACAATGACGTCAAAGACTGCTGCAGATGTTTGGATGTTATGTGGCGATGGCAATATAAAAGCGTCAAAAGCACACCACTCACACTGGACAGGTAAGTTGAAGCACCATCATTATTGTTGGCAATGGGATTCAATAAGGTTTAGATGCCACATGGAGCAGCTGGTCGTTGACAAAGGCATCTGCACCTTTACGAACGCAGAGGGCTTGCATTTGTGCAATCAGATTCAGCACCTCCCTGTTCGCAACCAGGTTCAGCAGTATTGTACTGAGAACAAGATGTGCACCCTTCACTATCCTTGCAACACCACCTGGACAGTCACAACACTTCCCAGCTGTTTCAGAGACAGTTGTTTGAGCGCATCACTGAGCCAAACAAGATTCTATTCGCTGGGGACCAGCAGCACGAAAAATGGCTGGCTGTGCAGCTTGGGCACCTAGCATACAGAGCCTTGTGAGCTCTGCGAGCAAAGTACTGTGTGCTGGTACCGTGTGGCGGCACTGAAGACACCTGCTTGGTACATAGATTCGACAGCTGTGCATATACTGCAAATTCATGGTCATCATAAACACAAGCGAACACAAGATGTGTAGGAAATTCATGCTAAATAGCTCACCTTAGGTCGTCCGGCTTTGCTATTGCCCCAGTCAAGAAACCTCTCCCAAGGGGGCTGTAAGCAACGAGGCCAATGCCCAGTTGCCTGCAGGTGGGTATGATCTCCTTCTCTGCATCTCTTGTCCACAGAGACCACTCCAGCTGGTAGGCGGTGATTGGGTGAATGGCATGCGCTTTTCGAATGTCTGCAGCACTTGCCTCCGAAAGACCTATGTACTTCACCTTCCCCTCTTCCACGAGAGCCTTTAGATGGGATCACGCAATGGCGAGTCAGATTGCAATTGACTGCCCAGATTCTTTTAAACAAACCGTTACTCACAGAAATTGGCAAAGCAGTGGAAGCAGAAACCCAAAGGCAATCATCATGCTCCTCACATGACATCTCTGTTCTTGTCGATACGCGTCAGTGAGATACAACTATCCAATCCAGAGGGTGCGCTGTATACCGAACAACGCTTGTGCGCAAATATCTTCGTCTACTCCGACGAACAACAGTCTGAGCACTCAACGGTGAGCAAAATTTTTGCCTCACGAACTTTCTTGCCCCAAGAGTACTTGCTATGTGGAAAAAGTACATCCCGAGATATTCACAGTCCACCTCCAAAACCGGTTTCCACCTTCGCGTGCTGCCTATTGCTTGGGTTCCTGGGTCAACGAAGGGGTGGCCGAAAGTCCTGTGTGCACGTCCTTGCCTAAAACGTTGTCCACAGTGGTCATCCCCTCGGCTGCGGCCACGACCATAGCGTCACATTTTTGTGACCGCGCCGCGTGCCCTTTCGCTCTGTGCATGGGTATCGGCCGCGCGAGCCGCTAGTCGGCGGCCCCTGACAGCGCCGTTGACCAAGGACAGATTGAGGCGAATAGCAACGGTACGTGGTGCTGCACAGCATTTGGCGAGGAGCAGTGCTCCCCATTCTGTTCCCGTCAGAGGCATGTCTAGCAATTCCTGGCTGGAGATCTCCAGCCTGCGCTCTCCCCAAGCTCCGCAATGCCGTCTTGTTAGCCATGCAGCAGCAGTCGCCGCTGCGCAAGCGGGTTATTGGGGCATCTTGGGAGTCTTTGTAAAGGTCGCGGGCCAAAAAAAAAAACACGGTGCCAAAAAGTTTGCGCAGAAACATGTTACCGCAGAGGCACAAGCAAGGAAGGCGCAAAATCTTTCCGCCAGGAACCCTTCTCGGTATACATTAGTATTCCATACCTTCAAGTATGCATCTTCGAAATCAAGTTCCAGCACACCAATAGTCTGCCCACAATCAATTCGAATGTGCAACAATGTACAGCATATGTGGTTGACAGGTTCAACAACAACTGCCTAACCATTGCCCAAACACACCAGTTCTTTGCTGCTACACAACGCAGGCTGTCCTGACATATAGTGCGCAACAACAACCACGAATGTGTTGCTGTTGCGTATTTACTGGGCCATGGAAGTCACCAAGTGCTTCATTGCTCACAACAGGCTGCCCTACAGCATCGCATGTCCATTCAATCAATTCCTCTCCCCGACTTTTCAACGATGTAGGTTACTCTCAGACCATAATGTCCTCTAACTTGGTCAATGCTGCATTGTGTTGAATCAAACAGACAAGCCTAGCATTTCCTTGGATTCGGAAACCCACCACAGGCCCAAAAACCTGTGAGGCAATCAGCAAACCAATGATCGAAACGAACTGTGCAAGAACAGTTTGCTGATGGGCGGAGCCGAATACAGCATTTAGTTGGTTCATCCTGGATATTCCAAGACTTCCAGTGCTTGCCTTCAATTCACGGATGGTGTCTTCAATGGGCGTATTAGGATCCACACGGTGCTGATAGAAGAGATCGATGCAATCGACTCCAAGTCGCTTCATGCTCTCCTCACAGACCTTCCGCACATTGGCTGGAGTCGAGTCGAAACCGGCAAAGTCGCCATCCTTGAAGATGAAGCCGAATTTCGTGCAGACTTGAAACTGATCGGCCCTTCCTTTGATTGCACGCCCTATCAGGTCAAAACCACACGCTGATGAATACCAATTCAACAGATGTCGATGGCGGGCTGGCGTTGATGCGTGGCGAGCGCGGTTGGGTGTTGCTGTCTGCTTGCCCGGGATGTGCTGTGCTGGTTACTGCTATCACAGAGTTGCCTTTTGTGGGCACAATCATCGTTCGCTGGGACAATACTTTGTGGACCGATAACACTGCTATGCTTGGTCACCGACAAACATAACTTCCGTTTTCTCTATAGTTCCGAGATTCTTTTGTACAAAAGAATCTCGGAACTGCAGAGAAAACGGAAGTTGTGGTACATGTGGCGATGGCGTTGATCATCAACAGCGCACTATCAACGTCGCCAACAAGATCTGTGGTTCGTGGTTCCCCGTGTGCACCCCGACATCCCCTCTCGAGTCACCCTGAATCACAGCAACTCCGAAAACCGCTCCCAAAGGCTGACAGGGAACGCCTCGGGGCTGCCAGCTCACCCACAAGCTCCTCGTTCGTGTAAGGGCCGTAAACTTCCGCGGTGTCCAGGCACGTGCACCCGAGCTCCAGCGCCTTGTCAATGACATCCAGCGCCTCCGACTGCGCTTCCTTGCCCTCGTAGCCCTTGTACAAGAAGCTCATGCCCATGCAGCCCAAACCCTGCGCCGACACCATCATGCCCTGCTGCCCCAAAGGGACCTGCGGGAGTCTCGCCGACATCGCCTCGATCGCAACGCAATAGTCTCCTTCGCTGGCAGAATGTGTGGGCAGCCTCAGAGCCTGCTCGCGTTTCCGCGACTCGTCGTGGCGTGTCGTGGAGGATCCGGGAGAAGCGCACAACACCGCTGCAGAAGCACCCCTTCGAACGCATGGCAGGTTCCCGGCGGCTCCACAACAGTCAGTACGAGATATCACAGCAACTTATGTGCGCAATCCTCATGGCGTGTCTCCCGTTACATCATGGCTACGAGAATGGTGACGCCTCCTGATATGGAATTCACTTGGAATTTGTGCAGCGAAACCGCGTGTTTTAGCTCATCGTGTCGTATGGGTGACGCCACTTTCACACTCACAAATTTCCAGCTAATTTAAAATAGAAATTTCTACTTGAATCTACCTTCAAAATATGTAGGTCAGTACTAGGACCTTATCCGTTCATGGCTTTCGAGACATGAGGATTCCTATATCTTTGTTGGATTCCCACATGTGAGACTGCCTCACGAGATTGCAGAAATCTCCAACAAGAAGTTGCAAAAAAGGTTACTATTTTTTTTGCAACAGTGGATTGTTCTTTTCTGCGACAGTGCCAAACTACTCTTTTTTGCGACAGTGGCGATAATTGATGTGTGAGATGTTGGCATCAGATTTGCAACACCACCCAAGCACGGTCCACTGGGCCTCCTCTCACAACGGCGTTGAAGGTGCATCTATTTGGAGAAAGGACTAAAAGGCGAAATGGGAACGTTTGGGGACGCCCAGGGTTCCCACCTTGCGGAAGAGGGCTGCCGCTACCACTCGGCGATCACCTTGGCGCTGAGATTCAACCGAATCGGCTGAGGTTGCAGCCCCCCGTTTCCTCCCCAGATCTATTTTTGCCATGCTAACCCCCTGAAATGCGGCCACTTGGCCGCGCGGGGAGATGGAGTCGCGAACTGGGACCGGGGAGTGTTGCTTGTGACGCCGGACGGGGAGGCCAAGGCGCTGGTTGCCAGCGCCATTGCCATCCAAGCATCGACCATCAAGGCGCCCACGCCCAGCGCCGTTGACTGGTCACACGACCAGGCTTCGCTGCCGGGTGGGGGCACGCCCTGTAAGCCACGACATGTGGCGGGCTGCCACTGGAGCCATTTCAGCGATTGGCGCAACCCTAGTGCTCATTTGGTGTCGCCCGGCTCTGTGCGTCACCCAGACCCCAAACAAGCACAACGTTGACTCGTGAAGTTCAAGGGAGCGGAAAACGGTCCCTCGGGTGCCGAACAACAGCGACAGCGGCTGCTAGCGGCCGGTGGCAACTTGCCACTGGCAAGTGACGGGTGGAGGGGGGCGGGGGGCGGGGGGCGGGTAGGCGAGCTGGTTCGAAGGCCCGCCGCCTTCCCAAGTTGTGCATTAGTCATATTCATTGTCACAAAAAAGAACAATCCTGATACGAAAAGTCTGTGGGTGTGGGGCGCCTGCCCTCTTTGAGCCGCGGACCCACCTCGCCGGGCACCTAGGTCCTTACAGGGACCTAGGCGGGACCACCCCTCCTACTCCCATATCCTTATAAGTATAAGAGCTACCGTAGGACAAGGAATACAATACGATCTTGGGTAGGGCGTCCCCCACACCAAGGGCCAATAGTAGGGCGTCCCCCACACCAGGCCGGTGCGCGTAACATTCGTCCCCCTCAGGGAGGTGGGACGTCCTCGTCCCAATGTATATGGATATGGGAGCAGAAACATTATGTATGTGGAAATAGAACTAGCTGTGCGATTTGCCACATGCCCAGTTGTCGCGGTAACCACACATACATTATGTAAACTATGGTGAAGAGAAAGAGTGGTTGTTTTTACATGACCTCCCGGTCTTCACAACCCTCATTAAAACTCTTCCTCAGCCACATGGCTGGAATGTTCGACCTCCCGGCCTGTCATTTGTGACACCGAGAATGGGAACCACCAAATGCCCATGCCGGTGGGCGTCGGCTCGGTGCGGGACCTCATCCTCGCCCGCGGCCACGCACACGCCCAGCTCCTCGAGAGGCTGGCACGAGCGGTTCATCAATGTCTAGTCTTTCTCCATTCAAGATCGCAACGGACATGGCGTTCATGTGTCCAAATTGCGTCTTGGCACGGGGAGCGGTGTACCCAGTGTTCTTCTGGGCCCATCTCAGGAGAACCTGTCAAAGCATAGTCACACATGAGCATGTTTTAGTATGTACATCCCGTACTTTCACGCAGTTTGCATTTACATCACAGAGGTTCTGCCATTTTCAAATGCTTGAACCAGTTCCTGTGCATTTGCAACTGACTTTGCTGATTCTCAGCTGTTATGCTCATGTCCATATCCCAACCATTTGACAAGGTACTCAACATAGTTTTTGCGTCTCCCACGCTTCTTAATCCTTTTGTCAAGAATACGTTCAACTTCATACTCCAGTTCACCTTCGATCTCGATAGGTACTGGGGGTGGCTGTACTCTGCCACTTGCCTTATACGGCTTGATTTTCGAGACATGAAATACTGGATGTATCCTATGTATGCTTTCCAGGAGTTCCAGTCGATATGCGACAGAACCTATCCGGTCGAGGATGGTGAAGGGCCCAATCCACCTCGGTAATAATTTTCGAGTTCCAGGGTGCTTGAGGGTGATATGTTGTGTCGAAAGGAGGACGCCATCTCCTTTATTAAACGACACTTCCCTCCGATGGCGGTCAGCATGCTTCGACTGCCTATCTCGTGCTTTTTCCAAGCACGCCCTGGCCTCTTTCAGCGCTGTTTGGACACGGTGATCAAATCGTGTCACTGCTAGTAATCCCTGCACGAGGGGTGTACCAGACTGCCTCAAATAAGGCTGCTGTGCCCTCTCAATGGCCACTGCCAAGCCGCGGGCATTCGGATTGTCATAGCCCTTTAAAGGCTTCCGAATTTGCACACCAAGAGCTAAGGGACTCTTTGGGTGTCTCCCGTAGTTCAGATAGAATGGGGTCTCTTGGGTAGAACTGTTCTTCGAGTTGTTCATCGCAAACTCGGCCATGGCTAACAGTTCATCCCACGCGTCATGGTCAGAACGCGTATAGCTGCGTAAGTAATCCTCCAGAATCCGATTCATGACTTTGGTCTGGCCATCCGTCTGTGGATGGTACGCAATGCTCATATTGAGCTGAATCTTCCACCTCTCGGCCAGGTACCGGTAAAACCTGGAAGTGAACCGAACGTCTCTGTCGGACACTATCTGAGAGGGGAGGCCGTGGTGCCTTATCACATTCTGCACCAGCAGATCAGCTACTCCTTCTGCGGAGAGCTCGGTGGTCGTGGCTACTAAGCGGACCATTTTGGTCAGTCTATCGACGAATACGACGATAGCATCATGACCTCCCTTAGTTTTTGGCAGTTGAGTGATGAAGTCCATGGACAATTCGATCCATGGCTCCCCAGGAATGCCCAATGGCTGTAATAAGCCTGGGGTCTTTTGACGAGGATACTTAACCTGTTGACAAACCAGGCAAGTATCGATGTACAACTGTACTTCTCGTCGCATTCCTGGCCACCAGTAATACCGCTGGATCAAGTCCAGGGTCTTGGCTTGACCAAAGTGTCCCACACTTGGATGGTCGTGAGCCAACTGGCAGATCTCAGTCCGCAGACTGGCAGGTATATATACCTGATTGCCTTGCAGCCACAACCTGTCTGTACAGCGCATCTCTTGCTGCTGTCTTACAGACGTAAGCTGGGGATCTTTGCCATAGGCCTGACGGATACTGGAAGCTAGATCTTTGGCCTCTACCGTCTCTCCTGCCTCTCTTTGGCTTCCCCGCTTATGCATTACTCTTAAGCCACATACAACCAGTTGACTTTTCCTCCTCGCTACTTGTTCATCCGGCGACGGAGGAATACGAGAGAGTGGATCAGCCACATTCTTTCGTCCTGGGCGATATTCCCATTCAAAATCAAATTGTTGTAAGATTTCCGACCACCTGGCCTGTCTCCGGCTCAGCTGTGGTTGTGACTTAAGGTAGGTCAACGGACAGTGGTCCGTTACCAGTTTGAAGCGTGTTCCTTCAAGGTAACACCTCCACAACTGGACAGCGTGGACTGAGGCTAAAGCCTCCTGGTCCGTTACGCTGTAGTTCAACTCCGCTGGGAGGAACTTCCTACTCGCATAACAAACAGGGTGATTGTCCTGCATTAGGACCGCCCCTACAGCAGTTTGCGAGGCATCTGCGATGACCTCGAATGGTCTTTCAGGATCTGGCATCTTGAGCAAAGGAGCGGTGGTCAAACACTCCTTTATGTGCTCAAACGTCGATTGACACTTCAACGTCCACTCCCACTTGCCATTCTGTTTGGTCAGGTCTGTCAAGGGAGTCGCCATTTTCGAATAGCCTTGAATGAACTTTCGAAAATAGTTAGCCAGTCCGAGGAACTGCTGTACGTGCTTCACGCACTGAGGTGTGGGCCAGTTCTTCACCTTCTCGATCCCTTCGGGATCGGGGCGTATGCCTTCTTGAGACACAATATGTCCCAGGTAGGAGATTTCCTCCTTATTGAACTGGCACTTGTGCATTCGACAGTATAGCTTTTGCTATCGCAACACTTCTAACACCTGTCTTAGGTGTCTTATATGCTCTTCAGCAGTTCGGCTAAACACCAGAATGTCATCTAAGTAAACTAGGACGTGTTTGCCGATTTGGTCACCAAATATATGGTGCATTGTCTGCTGGAATATCGCAAGGGCATTCGCAAGTCCAAAGGGAAGTACTTTGAACTCGTACAAGCCCAATGGCATGACAAACGCCGTTTTGGCACAGTCTGCCTTATCGATTTGTAGTTGATGGTACCCTTGTTGCAAGTCTATAGCCGAAAAGACTTTGGCCCCTTGCAACTGATCCGACAGGGTATCTATCCTTGGAATCGGCTACTTGTTCTTGATAGTGGCTTTGTTCAATGCCCGATAATCAATACACATTCGGAGGCTGCCATCCGGCTTGGGTACGAAGAGCACGGGGGTCCCGAATGGGC